TATTGCAAGTTTAAGCTTGTGTTGCCATGTATTTACAGATAAAGGTGTATTCAAACGATTTATTATTGTGCACACATACAAATGCTTTGTTTTCAGGAGAGAAAATAGAAACTGAAGGCAGCAGATAACCTGTACTTTTGCTCCTAGTTCAAAACTCTTGGTATTACATTTGCTACAACGTAGCTTAATAGGATCTGTCAGCAGACCTCATTTTTAATGTCACCTCACATGACTATAAGTTCTTTTTTTTTTTTCGAGCCTTCTTGATGATAAATCAAACAGCTTACTTTCAAAGTCACCAGAGAGCCGTTTTACAATGTAGTGACAAGAAACCTGCTCAGATTGTTCCCAGTTCGCTGTCCTGACACATAACAGGCAACGTTTGTGAGAGAGCACTGTAGTAAAATAACTGAAACTCACTTCTGATTGATTACAGTTAAAAGAAGGTTCATCATGTTTTGTCACAAATGATTGCGAAATTAGTCTCGATGTTTGTTTGCTGGACATTAGTGCAGAGAATTGAGGGGCTGCCTCAGACTTGCAGGATCTTGTCGTGTCTGTATCTGATGCACTAAATGATAATGCAGACTTAATGAGCAGGTTAGCAAATATCACAACAGAAGAACAAAATGTGACTGAAAACTTGACAAAAGAAAGAAGTCTAGAGTCTGTCAAACAGCTGTCTCGTGCGGATGTGTGTGTCTGTGTGCGCACACGTGCATATATGCATATGTAAATTTTTAACTCCTCCTCTGGTGTCAGCCAGTGCTATCATCTGTTGCAGAGATGGGAAAAGAAATGTTAGCACCTGACAGCCAAAGTGTTTTGTTTCTTGGCAGAATGTATAATTATTCAAATGAGTGCATTCAAAAGCATCACATGAGCTAGAATTAATTAGTCCCTGCATATTTTAGCATCATCAATTCCATGGAAAATCAGTAAGATTGCTGCTAAATGTCACCAGGAATAAAATGGAACAAGAATGGAAGAGAGGAATGTTTAGTTCTAATATCTGGAGATATCCCAACACATTGAATGCTATCATATGTATTTCACTTATCCCGTACATTTTGCATTGACAGTTTTTCTCAATTTTTTCGAGTCATAGAAAAAAGTTCTGGAATAAATAACCGAATCATTTTAAAGGGAAGTCCTGTATGTTGTTTGTTAGAATCAGGCTGTCAGTGCGTGGCCACCGCTGTATCAACTTGGACGACAGCCTGACTTTTTCAAAGAACCCAGAGTGTGAGGACACATGTGGATGCGTAAATACAGACACATACTGATTTACATCTCACGCCCAAAGCATCGGTGCTTTGCTTTTTATATTTGCAGCTCGTCTTTCAAAGGAAACAAAATTGACACACAAATCAGCCGGTGAATATGTCAGCGTGTTTTATGAGGCAACACATCTGTGGCTCGTAATTGGTGTCTTGCATATTTTAGTAGTTTATTTGGGGAAAGGATGCATCTGTGAAACCCACAGAGTCACTTGAAATGTCAGATGTAATTGTGCCAGTTTTAATCCTCTGGCTTTGAGATGGACAAATAAAGCGAGGCTCCAAACGTGCCCCACAATTGCACTCTGGTGTGTGTGTGTGTGTGTGTGTGTGTGTGTGTGTGTGTGTGTGTGTGTGTACCTGTAGTTTTGTGGTATTTTTAGACCTGTCAGAAAATATTTTCTGTTTGGTTTTTTTTTTAATTTCATCAGTTTTTTCAGCCAGAATCCACCAATGAAACATAAACCCAAGAAAAATCTAGTGCAGCACCTGTGCAGATGTATTAAATGTTCTTATTTCTCTCTATACATGTTGATGTACTTTACCTGCATCTCTTTTCAGGTGTTTAAGAGTCTTAAACTTTTTCTGGAGAATAAACAGCCCGGAGACGAACTCTTTGACCGCCTAAATGTGAGTCTGTCTCAGCATGCATCTCCTCTAACATGTTGCACCTTTTATATGA